GTGTGTGTGTTTGTCAACAAGATTTTTCGAAAACGGTGGAGTGGATTTGGACATAATATGGTACACCTTTGAACTATGACCCAGTTTAGAAGTGATTAGTGTTTGGATAGTCAAGGTTACAACAAGGTCACAAAATACAAAATCCCTATCTGTTAACATGGGGACTAATTGTTTGCACTATTTTTGCTCTATAACTTGGTCAAAAATGATTGTATTTTGATGAAAGTTGGTGGACATATGTAGAATATTATTCCTCATTGTCCTGTCAAAAATGGTCCATGTCCATTGAAAATGACAGACATATGGACACTTTTTTGATTTTTTGATTAACTCTGCATGGCGGAAGTATGTGCTGTACTGAGTGTCCCTTTTGTTGTTAAATGTTTTCATTACATTTTCCAAAGAAGCTCACCAGTACTGGATTATATATTTAATTCTGGACTCAAGTTTTCAATGGCCAAGGTCTCTTTGATTCATAAAGAATAATAATTTTTGGCTGTTCCAATAATTTCAAACTGCTTCAGAACATTTGACACTTCCACATACCTTAGTAAATTGTGCTCCTTGATTCTATCTGCCAGTATTCTTGTAGTAGATTCTGTATGTACTCTAGAACACTTGTAGATAATGTTCCAGTGATTTGGTTTTACTTATTCTTTCTAAAAACAAAATAGTTTCTTATTCATTAAATGTTGACATGATGAATAGAGTTACTCTGATGTTTAGCAATGGTACCACCATTGTACACTATGTTGTTGGTTTTATCCTACATTCTTCATCTTGAATCCAGGACTCGTATCCTCTTGCTTCTGTAACTTCTGCTAAGCCTACTTTGTCTTTGGCCAGCTCTACTCACAATCTGCCTTTGGTTCTGTTTCTTCTGTCCCTGATAAGAATCAGGTAACACCTGCCTTTGTCCTTATTCTGATAATTCAAGTAAGTGAAATTTGGTCTTTTACTCCAGTTATTTCTACTGATTCTCATGTGAGCTCCTTTCATGCATCTAAACTCATAAGATTTTTTACCCTTCTTAAGTTATATTTTTGCAGATTCTTACTGTCTTTGGTTTTTTTTTACTCTTAGTTGTTATGTCCTTCCCATACTTAAAAACTCCTCTGTGGCCTTTGGTTGGAACTTTTACTCTTTTCTATTGTTCCTATCTCTTGAATCTCTTCTCCCAGCTTGGAGATTGTATTCTTCTTTTACTTTGACTCTCATTAAACCTCAATCTGCTCATCTTCATCTTTTGCATATTCATATTCTTAGATTGCTATCCTTTTTACCCTTTCCTTCTGAAGCTCTGCATCACTACCTTGATAGCATTTCTAGGGTTGGTTGGCGTTTTATGGTGCAAAGCAGCAAGGCTATCTGTGCCTTCTAGGGAAGGTCACACTAACCTCATCATTGTGTTGGCCCTGTTTTCTTCTTTAGCTGTTCCCTAGTTCACATCCCCCACTGAGACAGCGGTAAGTATTCGGATTTACACTGCTAAAATCAGGGGTTCGATTCCTCTCGGTAGACACAGCAGATAGCTCGATGTGGCTTTGCTATAAGAAATAAACACTCTCCTAGTTCACTGTCTTTGTTTCTGGGATTTGTTCTGTCAGGATGCCTTATTCCCTCAGTTTTATATTAGAGAACTCCAGTTGACATTTCATGCTGAAGTTTTTGGGAGTTCCTCATTCTGGTGTCTCCTGAAAGGCTAGTCAAAATGGGCCTTGGTGATCTCTTGTTTATGGGACTACCCCTAAACTTTGGTCTTTTGGAGCTTGGCTCTTACACTTTTTCCACTTGTGGATTTACTTGGTTGGAAACTGTTGGGTCACGCAGGTTTTCTCCCAGGAGCTTTCTTTATATTTCAGAACTCATATTTGTCTAATTTATGAGGGCTTTCACATGGAGAATGCATTCATATGGTCTGCACTTCCATTGCTATATACTCATTTAGCATCTCCTAGTCCTGTCCTAGGAGTCATATCTGTTCCAGTTTCCCTTCTCCTTTGGGATTCTGCATGTTTGTGTTGGCTGGTCAGGCTCATAAATTGGTATTGACTCCCATTCTATATCTGATTCATTTGGGAGCCTTTATTGCTTCATTTGATGAATGGGCTCAACCTTTTTTTTTTACATTTCCGATTTCTGGATTCAAAGCCTGTCATGTCGTCTTTTCTTTCTACACATGAGATTCTGTCACTTTTTGGGAGTTTCTCACCTCTTTCATATCCCTTCTTTCTCTGGATGTGCCTTATTGTGTCCCCTTCACTGAATACTTGCAGATCACTGGAATATATATACCCTGTGATCCACTGTCTTCTTGTTTTTCTTTACCTATCACTGTCATAGCAACTCAAATGTTTTCACACTACTATAAGTATCCATTTTCTTCCAACTGCTTGGACTTACACCTGTTCACATATGTTTTTCTAGCTGGGTTGTTTGAGATTCTGGACAGCTTCACTGTTTTTAGTGTTTGGTCTCCTGTTGAGTTGTATTTCCACATCATTGTCCTTGAGATGTGGGAATTTCTATGGACCTGCCACCATATTAGCTGTCTGGACAACTTGTTTTGATCTATTTGAACAACTCTACTGTCCTGTTTTGCATCAGCTAACAGGGAAGTACTCCCTCTCAGGACCCTTGCTTTCTTGTTCTTGGGCTCCGCTTTTGGCAACAACTTCCAGTTGGACCTTTATATTCTGGAAACTTTGAACTTAGTGGTGGATTAGCTGTCTCACTCACACTTGATCCCTCTGGTAGAGTGATCTCCTGGTGTTTTGTTCCCACTTTATGAGCCCTCTTATTGTTGCATTTGACACTCTCTATCCACGATAACCCATTTCACAGTCTCTCAGTGGAACCTTATGCAAATGATAGGTAACTCTTATTAAATCCATGCACTGCTATGGTGTTCCTCCATACATGAAGAAGTTTATATAGAGATTTCCCCTTTGGGTTGGTGTAATCTCACTAATATTAGAACAAGTGGATGCACTCCTCTATTAGAAGTAGAGCAGATATGTATATTTGGAAGCGTAGTGCAGACCAACCCTGTACATGAAGAACTGGACTATTGCAGGTGTTGGTGACCTCCCAATGGTTCTTGTGTTGTTTTTGGGGAAGAAAGTCTGTGATGATTCATCGCTGCCCCTGCTTATTCTGGTAAGTATATCATGTAAGTATTTCTTATTTACTTTATGATTTGGCTTATTGCCCTAGCCGCATTACACATATATATTCTGCCAACTCTCCTGAAATATACAGGCCAGTCAAGCAGCATTCACATTCTTCTCACCCTTATGACACTTTAACACCATGCAGGAGATTCTTTTGACTGTATTGGGCAAAGGATATTCCCTGCTTGAAATGAATGTGATCTCCCATCAAATGATGCTTCCACTAGGATCACCATCTTCCACACTGTAGTGAGTGATAAACTGCATGAATTTTCCTTTCTTTTACTATGTTTTCAGAAAGAAGCTCATCTTTTAATATTCTTTATCTACACCAGTTCCTCCCTTATATTTTCAATGTGGGATTCTAGTTATCTATTCTATGGAGAGGTGAATAGTGTTTCTGAAGTTAACATTTTCCTCACCTGAAAATGTATTTTAGATAGATACTAATCTATCCACAGAACTACTCACTTCTGGTGTGTGTCTCTTTTGCTTAATCTGTAATGAGGTTTTGGTATACACAAAATGCTAAAGGGGAGTACTGTGTATTAAGAATGTGTTGCTCCTCTATTGGTGAAGGGATATAGTCTAATGCATCATAACTGGTGCAGTACATGTTATTATGTGTTAGGATGGGAATTTTGTTCAAGAGCTTGATGCATGTACAAAACCCTTTTGGCAGTAGTGTGAGTTGTTACATGTTTGTTCTGTGGAGAAGTAAGTATCTATTTGAAATACATTTCCAGGTAAGTAAAATGTTAACTTTCACTTGTTTAGGCTGATGTCCAAGTAAGAACTACAACACAGTGGTAAAAAGTGTCCTTGGCTCTCTTCATGACTTTTGCTGTTGTGGAGCAGTTTTGGTTTAAAATGTTTCATTTGCTACTGTTTAGACCTTTTCAAGAGATATTTTTGGTGTATGGTATATATTCACAAAATTTAGTAGGTTATGACCTTGAAATTGATCTTGAATAACTTGTCACTTGGTAGACCTGTGGCATCTCGTACCAGAATTATTTTCTTATACACTCCATTTATAAATTATTTGCCTATTCAGTTGATTTCTAAGTCATCTAGTATTGTTAGAGTCATGACTGCTTTATTAAGTATGTTGAACTTTGATAATTGTTGTATAGAACTTTCCTTTGAATGCATATTGTACAGAAAGTAGGTGAAAAAAAAGATCATGAATTTCATTTTCTTGGAAACTGAAGTTTGGTTTGGCATTACAAATATAATCATTTCTGGAAGAAAATGAATATGTTTGCTGGAACTTTTAAAATGATGTGGTTTGGCTGTGGCCCAGTTATGTTAATCAGCATGTTACATTTTTATACAGACACTGCAATTATCTTGACTTTATTCAGTACCTTGAAAATAAGTTTTGACAGCTATATCACACTATCAATCCAAAGCATATTTCATTATATGTTTTTTTAAATTCTTGTGTTCAAATTTACATACTCATTCAGGGTAATTTTAGGGCCATCTTATTCAGTTGCAGTATGTTTAGATCCTGACGAAAGGCAACAATGATTAACAAATCAAAGCCTCAGCTCAGCCCTACCATACATATGTGGTTGTAAGTTTGTTTGTGCAGTTATATACTTAAAGTCCAAGCTAAATGTGGCAGTGATACCCAAGTCTTTATTTTGCATAAATTCTTAAACCACTTTTATTTATTTATCTTACTCATGGAAAAATATATGTTATAATAACTTACTATTGTTATTACCATGCACTTGACTTCAAGTTCTTGAAATTTTTTTTAGTTAATTAGAGTGTTAGACAAAGTATATTTTCATTTTGTGTATTTACTATTTTCAGGGACAATAACTAGCCCAACTTCAACTCCAGTTATCACACCTGAAGAAGTATTTGAGTTTATCAAGAATAAGGACATGAAAAAATACTTGGTAAATAAATTTTGTAATCTGACTTTATCCATTGTATTAGGAAATCCAGATGTCTTTCAGAGTTAGATAATATCATATGTTCAATATATATATATATATATATATATATGATAAAGATTATTAATAAAAATTCACAGGACTGTATGTTGTTTCATAGATTGACCACTTTAGGGTATCACAAAACTTGTTGCTTTGAAATCTTAGTCATACTCATCATGCAAACATGTACATATAAATTTTTCACAAGAGATCCTATCATCTGAACCATACCAGTGAATATTTACAATTTTATCCTAAAGCCTTTCTTATGGCTTGACAGTAAGTGAAAGGGCTTACAACACTAAAAATCAGTGATCACTCTCTGTGGGGAGAAAAGAATATATAGCCCATTGTGTGCTTTTGCACTTAACAACAAAACAAACTTACGAAAAATCCATTTATATTATGCATTATGGCAGTAACAATAACAGGAGAGTTGATCAGAATCTTTATAATAACTGAGAAAGGAAGAGATTGGACACAAAGTGATATATAAAAAAAAAGTCTTTATTGATTTATAAAAAATATGTGTGTGTACTTATTCTTCTACTATGGGATGGTTACCTTTACTGGATCTTCCTTCAAACTGCTTACTTTTCCAGATCATTTACTAGAATGTTTGAAGATCTGTTCCACACCCTCTTGCTATGGGCAGAACAGGTATTATATCCTATAGAATAAAGGATCAGAGATATCTCGAAGGAGATGAACGTAACAGCTTTCTTGACCAAGTATTGTGTGAAACCTGCATTTATACTGAGAAAAGAATAAATTCTGAATAAAGACAAGAATAACAAAAGAAGTTGGAAATGCATTATACATTTGTTTATCACATTACCAAGTACTCTGAAGATGATATTATTGATTGAGTTGGATGTTTCTTCACTTTCATCTTTCTCATTTTATAGAAAATGTTTTACAATCTTATGATCAGCATAATTGGTTTTACTTACCCAAGGAAATTAATTGCTTACTAATTATCACATAAGTTTACCAAATCAAAGGAAGCTTTCAAGAGGATTTTTTTCCTGTTAATTGTCAGTTTCTACTTGCACAATATAAATTGTGGGAAGGAAAAGTTTCCAGTTGAGCAGAAATAAATGAAACATGAATATAGTTCCTTAACTCTTTTTTTTTTTTAAAGTATGTTTTGTTAGCTTTGAGATTTTCAAATACTACATATCTTACACTCATACACTGTATATTTTTATCCATAAAATTCTTTAAATTTGTCAGATTTCTAATTCTGAAACAATAAATCCAATTGAAATTGTGTGCAAAACCTAGTCTGAGGTTTTACTTTTTGTACCTTGACCAGCTAAGGAACTTGTCTGTTGATTCATGGGATATATATACATTTACATTGTGTCCTGCTTGACCTTTGTTACTATCACATGGAAAAGAAATACTTTCTCATTCTGATGTCCTCTTTCATGCAATTTTTGGTACTTTGAAGTGAAGTAGATTCCTTTTATTGAGAAGAGCAGTTCTCTGTTTCTTGAAAGATTCAACACTTGCTGGTGAAGTTTTATCCATTTGTTAATCTTTTATCCATCACTTCTGCTGATCATGTACTGTAAGTTAACTACCCTTAATCTTTATATACAGCCCGTTTTATATTTCTAATCTCACAGTGCAATAGTACATTCTCGCGATCAGCCAACTTTTGGTTTTCTTAAAAAAAAAGGTATTTATTGTGCTTCAAACTTCAGCTTCTGTTTTGTATTCCAATTGCAACAAATATTAAATACATTAGTCACTTATTTCTGATAAGAACAGGTAATTGACTTACAACAGGTTTAATACTTTCTAGTGATATCTGCAACTTCCTGAAGATTGCAAGCATATTTTTCATGAAAAATATTAACTTTCTTTAGTTTTAGATTACTAACCACTCAAAACTGATGGTAATTTAATTGAATTTGCTTATAGATCTAAGTAATAATAGATCATTCAACAGTGTTTGTAAGTGGTTCATCACAGTTTGTGTCTTGTTATGTCTCTAATTTTTTGTTTTTGTTATTTTAATAAAGTTGTTGCTTATTAGAGATTTTACATATAGAAGTCTTGGTTATGGTGACAACTTATAAAAACTTGCAAAATGACTACAATGTATTTTTGACTTAAAATCTATTCATTTGTTCTTTCTTTTTTATATTTAATTTTAGGTTAGGTAATTGAAAATATTCTATAGTGAACTTAACAGTTATGTTGATGGAAATAAATAAGACTTAACTCAAGACAGGTATTTTAATATTTGTTCATAATTTGAGGCTTAGTTTTTTTTTAGTTATAATTATATGAGATTAATTAGATTTTTTATATATTAACTGTAGGCTTAGCTTTTGTATGTTATTTATATTCATGCAAGTTTCATGTATGTAGCAGTATGTTAATTATTATTAATCAATTTTTATTTTTGTTCTGATATGATGTATGAGATCAGGCATTACTATTAACTATTTCATTTATCTTGCAGATTATTATTGTGGTGTCAAGATTTAAAATAGAGAACTCTTTTAAGAGATCAATATTTTTTCTGTATATGCTGGTAGGGCTTTTACTTCACGTAGCTATAGTTCATCTAATTAAAAATTATAGTTAGACATAATGTAGGATAAAACATTTCTGTCTTCAACTAAAGTAGTTTTAGCATACCTTGTGTTAATGTAAATCATTTGTATTTTCCCACAAATTAATTTTAGCATGCCTTGTATTAATGTTAGCCACAGTCTTGTGTGCTTTTATCCCATATGATTATCTAGACTTCTTTATCTCTTTGATTGCCATCAGGAGTATGTTGGTACATTATGCACTGACAGTGTGACACTTTTTCTATCTTCATTATATTTTGATCCTTATGATACGTAATAAAAATTAATCATTAGTTTATTATTTCTACACATTCTAATTACATTATGTAAAGCAAGAGAGGTATAGATAAATTATGTTAACCATACACTTCTGTTTGATATCTTGCTAATATGAGGCTTCACATACAGTGTTACAAGTATTTGGAAAAAAATTAAGAAAGCCAAACTTAATAGGGGCTACTCAGAATTTTTTTTCACTTTTTATTAATTTGAAAGTAGACAAAAAAAAAGTTGTATGGCTCCCAAGTAAATTAATTTTCTTAGCTTTTTTTGCAAATATGTATAGTAGTTAGGTGCTATTTAACTTGTAATTGTTTGTATATGATTTATAATTAGTAAAAGCTTCAAGTGTATAATAATGAATTTATTATGTTTTTATCTTACTTATCACATTTGAATACTTAATCTAGTATTCTGTTTCCTATTATTTAAGATGTATTTGACTCATTTAAGGACATTTTAGGTAACATCTGTGTATTACTTACCATTGAATGTGGCTTAGTGGTTAACTTGCTGGGTTGCAGCTGAAACAGATGTTCTGACTGGTTGATATCTCTCTGACTAATAGTTCAAAATTAGGGATGATTACACTGTAACTTTGGAGATTCCCAACCTGGCCATTTAATTTTTATATCACATAAAAGCCATTCATGTTGAAAATACCAAGTAATAAATGTGCTTATAAAATACACTTTACTAGAGCATAAATTTACATACATGTCTGTAAAATAACCAAAAGGTTCAGGACACAAACTCTTAACTTTTAGATTCTTTACTCGGTGCTGATTTCTGTGAGTGGAAGACATGCCCTTTATTTCATATTGAACAAAGCAACCTCTATTTTAATTTAATGTTTGAAATATCTATTATATAATCCACTCACACGTGCCACGACTTTTACAGAGATCTTTGGTTTACCACACCGTGTATGGATCTGGAACTTTGTAAATTGAATCTATCATACTTAAAATAGTTTCTGTGCTAGAAAACAGAAGTGGTATGAAAAAAGTATTGTCATTGTATAATAAAACTGATGTTTTTATTTTTTCATTTAATTTTTAATATGTTAAATCACATTATTTTTTCCATCAAGTAGTAAAGGTATATTAATAATTGTGATGTATGTGTACAATTGGAGATAATCATCCCAATTTCTAGTAGGTAACATTATCTGGCAAGGTCTACCATGTAATTGAATTCACTATGCTCTTTTTTTTATGTGTGTGTGTAAATAATTTGTGAGTGAAATCTTTGTCTGTTGGCTAAATTTGTGATGTACATTTTTGTAGCCCTGATCTGCACAAGCTCATCTTTTTAATTTTTAATTGAAAATCTTTTCTCATTTTGAGGGTTTCCCCATGTATGAAAATTCAAATTTGGTATGCAAATATTATATTTCATTCTATTTATAAAAAAATATTTTCTATTTAAAATTTTTTTTAAATTATCTAAACTTCTGATTCAGAACGTACTAAATCTACTCAAGAACATGTGCTTAATTTGGCCTCAGATGCTATTTTTTGTATTGAAGTCATTATGGAAGCTGGCCACTGTTTCATGGGATAGTTATGTTATGTGCTAGTTTACCTTGTTTCTGCAATGTCACATAGAGCAAAGATGCTTCCAGATTCTTGTTATCCAGTTTTCTGATTGTTCAACTGTAAATGGAGTTTTAGTATAAAAAGTACATTTTTTTCTGGCTTGAGAGAGACAAGGCTTGCCATGGAAGCTTCAGTGATATTTGAATCCATTTAGTTTGTTCATTGTATGAGTATTCTAATTTGTTTTATACTTATTCAGGCCATTATGAAGTAAAATCTAACTTATCTTTTCCTAAATACAGTATTCCTTTATCATTTGTTTTTGTTCGATACAGTTGTTTTATTTCTTTTTTTGTTAACTTCATCACATTATAATTGCCTACAATCAGTCTTTTCTTTCATTCTATCAGTAGCAAATCACTACACCTATCCTTCTGTGCATTAGGTCCAGTTTTTATGAGGATTGGGTAACTGTGTATTATGTTTACTCTTGGATTACCACATAAACACGCATCTTTATTGACCTTAGTGGATTATTTTTATTTAT